GTGGTTCAAGCCCACCCAGGGACGATCTATGCTTTTGTCCATTGATCGAAAAGTTTTGAGTGAATTGAAATTGTAGAAAGTGATGAAAACATTATGCGCCCAACGTGGGGCTCGAACCCACGACCCAAGCGTCTCATGCTCTACCGACTGAGCTAGCCAGGCTGACATGCAACCTTTCAATTATTGTCACCTACCTCTCAGTTCGAGCAACTCCAGAGACTTATGCTCCACCGACTGAGCTAACCAGGCAGACCAAAAAAATAATTAAATTCATAGTTGTCTCTGTGGCGCAATCGGTTAGCGCGTTCGGCTGTTAACTGAAAGGTTAGTGGTTCAAGCCCACCCAGGGACGATCTATGCTTTTGTCCATTGATCGAAAAGTTTTGAGTGAATTGAAATTGTGGGGCTCGATACCACAACCCAAGAGTCTCATGCTCTACCGACTGAGCTAGCCAGGCTGATATGCAACCTTTTATTTATTGTCACCTACCTCTAAGTCGAGCAACTCCAGAGACTTATGCTCCACCGACTGAGCTTACCAGGCAGACCAAAAAAATTAAATAAATTCATAGTAAGTGATGAAAACATTATGAAAACATTAAGTTTTGAGTGAATTGAAATTGTAGAAAGTGATGAAAACATTATGCGCCCAACGTGGGCCTCTAACCAACGACCCGAGTCTCATGCTCTACCGACTGAGCTAGCCAGGCTGACATGCAACCTTTCATTTATTGTCACCTACCTCTCAGTTCGAGCAACTCCAGAGACTTATGCTCCACCGACTGAGCTAACCAGGCAGACCAAAAAATTAAATAAATTCATAGTTGTCTCTGTGGCGCAATTGGTTAGCGCGTTCGGCTGTTAACTTAAAGGTTGGTGGTTCAAGCCCACCCAGGGACGATCTATGCTTTTGTCCATTGATCGAAAAGTTTTGAGTGAATTGAAATTGTAGAAAGTGATAAAAACATTGTGCGCCCAACGTGAGGCTCGAACCCACGACCCTGAGATTAAGAGTCTCATGCTCTACCGACTGAGCTAGCCAGGCTGATATGCAACCTTTCATTTATTGTCACCTACCTCTAAGTTCGAGCAACTCCAGAGACTTATGGTCCACCGACTGAGCTAACCAGGCAGACCAAAAAAATAATTAAATTCATAGTTGTCTCTGTGGTGCAATCAGTTAGTGCGTTCGGCTGAGTGAATTGAAATTGTGGGGCTCGATACCACAACCCAAGAGTCTCATGCTCTACCGACTGAGCTAGCCAGGCTGACATGCAACCTTTCAATTATTGTCACCTACCTCTCAGTTCGAGCAACACCAGAGTCTTATGCTCCAAAGACTGAGCTAACCAGGCAGACAAAAAAATTTAATAAATTCATAGTTGTCTCTGTGGCGCAATCGGTTAGCGCGTTCGGCTGTTAACTGAAAGGTTGGTGGTTCAAGACCACCCAGGGACGATTTATCCTTTTGTCCATTGATCGAAAAGTTTTGAGTGAATTGAAATTGTAGAAAGTGATGAAAATAATATGCGCCCAACGTGGGGCTCGAACCCACGACCCTGAGATTAAGAGTCTCATGCTCTACCGACTGAGCTAGCCAGGCTGACATGCAACCTTTCATTTATTGTCACCTACCTCTCAGTTTGAGCAACTCCAGAGACTTATGCTCCACCGACTGAGCTAACCAGGCAGACCAAAAAATTAAATAACTTCATAGTTGTTTCTGTGGCGCAAACGGTTAGCGCGTTCGGCTGTTAACTGAAAGGTTGGTGGTTCAAGCCCACCCAGGGACGATATATGCTTTTGACCATTGATCGAAAAGTTTTGAGTGAATTGAAATTGTAGAAAGTGATGAAAACATTATGCGCCCAACGTGGGCCTCGAACCCACGACCCAAGAGTCTAATGCTCTACCGACTGAGCTAGCCAGGCTGACATGCAACTTTTCATTTATTGTCACCTACCTCTCAGTTTGAGCAACTCCAGAGACTTATGCTCCACCGACTAAGCTAACCAGGCAGACCAAAAAATTAAATAAATTCATAGTTGTCTCTGTGGCGCAATCGGTTAGCGCGTTCGGCTGTTAACTGAAAGGTTGGTGGTTCAAGCCCACCCAGGGACGATTTATGCTTTTCTCCATTGATCGAAAAGTTTTGAGTGAATTGAAATTGCAGAAAGTGATGAAACAATATGCGCCCAACGTGGGGCTCGAACCCACGACCCTGAGATTAAGAGTCTCATGCTCTACCGACTGAGCTAGCCAGGCTGACATGCAACCTTTCATTTATTGTCACCTACCTCTCAGTTTGAGCAACTCCAGAGACTTATGCTCCACCGACTGAGCTAACCAGGCAGACCAAAAAATTAAATGAATTCATAGTTGTCTCTGTGGCGCAATCGGTTAGAATCAGAATCAGAATCAGAATCAGAATGAGCTTTATTGCCAGGTATGTTTGCACATACTAGGAATTTGTTTTTGTGACAGAAGCTCCACAGTGCAACAGAATGACAATGACAAGACAAGACACATAATTAAAACGAACAATGTACAAAAATACAAATATACAGAAAAGTGCAAAAAAAGCAAACACTCACTATACAATTAAATAAGCAAAGATAGACAAATGTAAACAATTTACTATGTACAGGTGCAAATTAGAAATGAGAAATGTAAACCAGTATGTGTATTAAATAAATAAATGAATGGATATATGATGGTCTTGTTGTTCAGTTTTATTTTTCAAGTGTTCATGAGATGAACTGCTTGAGGGAAGAAACTGTTCCTGTGCCTGGTCGTTCTAGTGCTCAAGGCTCTGTAGCGTCGACCAGATGGCAACAGTTCAAAGAGCGAGTGTGCAGGAGGTGAGGGGTCCAGAGTTATTTTTCCAGCCCTTTTGCGTACTCTGGATAAGTACAGATCTTGGGGAGTGGGGAGGGTTGTGCCAATGATCCGCTCAGCACACCGGACTATCCGGCGTAGTCTTCTGAGGTCAGAACTAGTAGCTGAGCTGAACCAGACTGTAATTGAAGTGCACAAGACAGATTCAATAATGGCAGAGTAGAACTGTTTCAGAAGGTCTTGTGGCAGGTTGAACTTCCTTAGTTGACGGAGGAAATACAGTCTCTGCTGGGTCTTTTTCACAATGGAGTCAATGTGAATGTCCCACTTCAGGTCCTGAGAGATGGAGCTGCCGAGGAACCTGAATGACTCCACTGTTTTTACAGTATTGTCCATGACGGTGAGTGGGGGGAGAGCAGGGGGCTTTCTCCTGAAGTCCACGATCATCTCCACAGTTTTGAGCGTGTTGAGCTCCAGGTTGTTGTGACTGCACCATACAGCCAGCTCTTTAACCTCCTGTCTGTAAGCAGACTCATCACCGTCCTGAATGAGACCGATGAGTGTGGTGTCATCCGCAAACTTCAGGAGCTTGACAGAGGGGTCTTTAGAGGTGCAGTCATTGGTATAGAGGGAGAAGAGCAGTGGGGACAGGACACAACCCTGAGGGGCACCAGTGCTGATGGTGCGGGTGCTGGATGAATAATTTCCCAGCCTCACTAGCTGCTGTCTGTCTGTCAGGAAGCTGGAAATCCACTGACAGACGGAGGTTGGCACAGAAAGCTGAGCTAATTTGGGTAGGAGGAGGTTTGGGATGATGGTGTTAAAGGCTGAGCTGAAGTCCACAAACAGGATCCTAACATAAGTCCCTGCTTTATCCAGATGCTGTAGGATGAAATGCAAACCCATGTTTACAGCATCATCCACAGACCTGTTTGCTCGGTAAGCAAACTGCAGGGGGTCCAGTAAGGGTCCAGTGATGTCCTTCAGATAAGCCAGAACCAGTTTTTCGAATGACTTCATGACGACAGACGTTAGCGCCACAGGTCTGTAGTCATTAAGTCCTGTTAACTTAGGTTTTTTTGGAATGGGGATGATGGTGGAGCTTTTGAAGCAGGCAGGGACTTCACACACCTGTAGTGATTTATTGAAGATTTTTGAACAAATGGGGGCCAGTTGATCAGCACAGATTTTCAGACAGGTTGGTGACACGCCGTCTGGGCCAGGGGCCTTTTTTCTTTTGTTCTTTTTGAAGACTTTGCGGACGTCTTCATTGCTGAATTGTAAAGGAGGGCTGAGGGGGAGGGGGGTTGTTGAAGGTGTAAATGGTGTTTTTTCAAACCTGCAATAGAACTCATTCAGTTCGTCTGCCAGATGTTGATTGTCCACAGTGCTGGGGGATGGTGTCTTGTAGTTAGTGATGACCTTCAGACCTTTCCACACTGATGCAGAGTCATGGGAATAGAATTGATTCCTTAATTTTTTTTTTTTTTTCCTCTTTGCCACTTTGATCTCCCTTTCCAGTGTGTATTTGGCCTGTTTATACAAGACTTTCTCCCCATTCCTGTAAGCATCTTCTTTGGTCTGACGAAGCTGTTTTAGTTTTGCAGTGAACCATGGTTTGTCATTGTTGTAGGTTAAATAAGTCCTGGTAGGAATGCATATATCTTCACAGAAACTGATGTATGAAGTGACAGTCTCCGTGAGCTCGTCCAGATTGGTGGCAGCAGCTTCAAAAACACTCCAATCAGTCCATTCGAAACAGGCTTGTAAATCCAACTCTGTTTCAGTGGTCCATCTTTTTACAGTCTTTACTACAGGTTTAGCGGATTTAAGTTTTTGCCTGTAGGTTGGTATGAGATGGACGAGGCAGTGATCGGAAAGTCCCAAAGCCGCCCGCGGAACAGAGTGATATGCATTCTTTATTGTGGTATAGCAGTGATCCAATATATTACTGTCTCTGGTGGGACATGTAACATGCTGTCTGTATTTTGGCAGTTCACGGGAGAGATTTGCTTTGTTAAGATCCCCAAGAATGATTAAAAAAGAGTCCGGGTGTTTTTGTTCGATCTCTGTGACCTGGTCGGCGAGTTTCTGTAAAGCCAGACTCACGTGTGCTTGCGGTGGAATGTAAACACACACAAGTATGAACGAGCAAAACTCTCGCGGCGAGTAGAACGGCTTGCAGTTTATGAAAAGCGCTTCTAGATCATAACAGCACATTTTGGATAATACTGTTACATCTGTACACCACCTTTCGGCTGTTTCACCTAGCGCGTTCGGCTGTTAACTGAAAGGTTGGTGGTTCAAGACCACCCAGGGAGGATTTATCCTTTTGTCCATTGATCGAAAAGTTTTGAGTGAATTGAAATTGTAGAAAGTGATGAAAACAATATGCGCCCGACATGGTGCTCAAACCCACGACCCTGAGAATATGAGTCTCATGCTCTACCGACTGAGCTAGCCAGGCTGACATGCAACCTTTCCTTTATTGTCACCTACCTCTCAGTTCGAGCAACTCCAGAGACTTATGCTCCACCGACTGAGCTAACCAGGCAGACCAAAAAATTAAATAACTTCATAGTTGTCTCTGTGGCGCAATCGGTTAGCGCGTTCGGCTGTTAACTGAAAGGTTGGTGGTTCAAGCCCACCCAGGGACGATTTATCCTTTTGTCCATTGATCGAAAAGTTTTGAGTGAATAGAAATTGTAGAAAGTGATGAAAATATTATGCGCCCAAAGTGGTGCTCGAAACCACGACCCAAGAGTCTCATGCTCTACCGACTGAGCTAGCCAGGCTGACATGCAACCTTTCCTTTATTGTCACCTACCTCTCAGTTCGAGCAACTCAAGAGACTTATGCTCCACCGACTGAG